CATGCCTTATCGAGCTTCATGAAACGTTTCCTTAGACGGTCAACCTCCTCTCTGTCGACTGTCTGCCCGTCAGCATGCCGCCCAAGTCTGTGCGACAAAGAAGTTGACTGCGGGGGAGGGGCTCACAATTGGACCCCTGGACGATATTGTCCAACACCGCACTAGTAGTGTTGCCCATGATGGAGAATGCGGGCGATCGATCTCGACGGAAGCTGTGGTGATGCGCGGTGGGAAAAGGGGGCCAGGTTTCGGTATCGTGTTGGCCGTCGCAAGTGGGCTTTTGTCGAGCTTCGATATCGTGGTCCGCCGTGGGGTTCGCCGAGGTGGGAGTAGGGAGGTTTCTAAGTGCGCGAGGCTAACTACAGACGTGGTGCGGGAATGTCAAGTTGAGGTAAGGCAGCCGGCTCGCTCTTGATTGGCCTGAGTATTGGATTCGGGCAGCTGAACCGGAGATGCTCGTGCACGGACCAGACGTCAATCACCGCGACAATTGGCTGGCATGCGATAGGTGCACGACGTCAACAGCGGCAAGTATCAGATGTATCACCACAACCATTTGAGTTTCGGAGATATGTGTGTGATAGATGGGTGAACGAGATGCACCTACACGTTCAACCGATCAGGAAAATGTTCCAGAAGTGATGGTGCTTGGCATCCTTTCCAGTGCTTGTTGCTGTTGTCGCCATCATCAGGCAAAAGCAGCACGTGACCAAAGGCGCCTTCCCCTATTCTGCGGCGTGTTTTTAGGCGTGGAAGGTGCCAGGCGCCCCAGGCCTAAGAAAGTCGGCGAGTCTACCTTCCAGGTCCCGACCTGGTCCGAGCGCCAAAGTACTCCCTCACCGAAACTCAGCTGCACGGTACTTGACACGACTCCAAAGTCTGCTCGAGACGACGGATTTTTTGGCGACTGCCAGAGAAAAGTTTTCGCACGCCGCGACCATCTCAACGTCACCTCATCAAGCAGCGACAGTTCGATCATCAAAACAGACACCACAACCACATTTTTTATCCCTCAAAAGCATCGGAGTCAAAGTCGCATGCCCTGGTATATGACTTGATCGACTTTCTTTTGCGGATTTTCCGCCGGCTTTCCGCCTTCCACCCCCCCACCCGCCACCATGTCTACGAGGAAAGTCCGAGTCAAGAAGTTGAGCGTCAAGACGCTGCTTCCGGTGCTCAGAGAGGATGATATCGATCCCAGCGAGTACGAATCCTTAACCACCGAATCTCAAATCGCGACCGGTGTCGAAGCCGCCGAGGAAACTGTGAGTCACTTTGCTCCCATATCGCAGCCAGATATCACGTGACATGATCATGTGACCCACATTGGCCTGCATCCCAATCGGGCGACCCACCTCTACTGACCGACCACTCGGCCGGTGGTGACACGACAAATATACTGACCTTAACTTTGTAGGAATACCATCTTCAGTCCATTCTCAAGGAAGCAGGCACCAGCAACGACCAAGAAATTCCAGTCCCACCTCCTCAGGAGAGCCAGATCAACTATGATCAACTCTACCCTAGTCACTTCCAGCAACCTACCTCGTACATCCGCTTCTCACAGACCGTTGAAGAATGCATAGGAGTTTCCTATGACATGACAACCGAGGACGATGAGTTCTTGAAGCAGTACAATTCTACTAAGAAGACCGTCGCCTCTCAGCTGTCCGAAGATGACTTTGAGCGCATCATGGAGGTCTTTGAGGAGATGGCCTCAGAACAGACGCCATTCGCCTCAATAGACAACACCGTCGTCAGCTATGAGACAATGCTTCCTCAAATCAGCCAGCTCGGCACTCAGAAGCTGATGGCGCATTCCAAGCACGTGTATGAGCACTGGAAGTCGCGAAGGCAGGCCACCGGCAACAAGCCCCTGCATCCGTCCGTCAAGTTCGAGACGCACCAAGAAAGCGACGAGGCCGACCCCTATGTCTGCTTCAGACGTCGTGAGGCCAGACAAACGCGAAAGACGAGGCAGAGGGATGTGCAGAGTGCCGAGAAACTCAAGCGACTTCGCAAAGAGCTCGAGGATGGACGTCAACTCATCATCCACTCATATGAGCGTGAGATGCTGAAACGTGAGGTCCTTAACTTGGATCGAATAATTTTCGAGCAACGAGCCAGGCTTAAGGAGATGAAGGTCAAGCTCGGCATCAAAACCGAGGACGACGATCTCATCAACCAAAAGGTATGTCGAGCGCTCTTTTTGAAGAATCGCATCGGAATGGATGTTGACTGCTTGCAGCCTCAGAAGAAGAAGCTAGTGGAAGCTCCTGCGTTGCAGAGACCTCCAGGCAACCATCTGCGCATCGCTGTGCGTCCGGACGGTCGTTCCATGGAAGCAGACCTTGTGCAACTTTCAGACAAGCTCGCAGAGAAGGAGAACGAGCTGCGGGCGGATGTTGAGAGCAAGGTTCACAACCACAGGAAGTGGAACCAGAACCATGTGGATCTCACCCGAGATCCTTTATCTCCGGTCAAGGAACAGGGCATGGAAATCAACTTCCGGCCCGCCAAGACCCAATATTTGATGACACCTCCAGCGTCCACCTCATCCGAGTCAGACGCCATGGATGTCGATGAAGAAGAGCCTGTAGTTGAAAGGGGCAATATGTCGATATTCCAATTTACTGCTGGCGGCAAGGAGAAGCCTCCAAACAGCCAACCAGCATTCCGCCGTCGCATAGGACGGTTGAACCGGTTGTGGATAGACCGCCGGGGACTGACAACGCCTCCGCGGATGGATGGCGAGGATTATTCGGATCGGTGGAAGTATGACCAGGATGACGAGGAAGAGACGCCGGTGTACGAAGTCGATCCCTACGACACAAGGGCGTTGAAGTTCCGCGCGACCATCCCGTTATCACAATATGTGTATCCGAGGCGGCAAATACCACAAGAGGGTATGCCTAACGTAGTGCCTACGCAAGTTGCTGGGGTCTCTGGCAGCCGACCGGCACTACCTCCACCGCCGCAGCCACAGCCGCAACATGCGCAGCAGTCGCAACCGCAGCAGCAACAGCAGCAGCAACCACAGGCGCCTCAGGCACCACCGGCGGCTCAAGCTCAAGCAGCGGCCTCATGAGGCCTGCCCGTGGCTTGAGTGCGCCCTTTCTCTCCTCATCATCCCCGGATGACGTGTTGTATACCCCTCGGTGTTTGGTTGCTCCTTTTTGGTATGTAAGATGGTTTGGCGGCAGGCAGGACGGTCGGATCGGCGTGGCGTTTTTGGGTTGTGGTGCCTCTCATGTAAAGTATATGACTGTGAAGGAAGCATGGCGGCGGAGGCTCTTCAGCAGACTGGTGGTCTGCCCCAAGAGACGAGACATTAAGAGAGGAACATAGATTCCACACCTCAACAAATAGAAGATCAAAAAATGACCTTTATTTGCATCTTCTCATGCCATATGTTTGCTTGTGTATCCGCCGTCGGAGAGTCTGCTGCGCATGTGGAGGCTGGCGGTTTCGGGAGGAGACTGTTTCGTTGATGCTAGCTTACGCAGCTGGCGACGGTGCGACGGTGCTCAGGGCTGGATTCTGTGATCTGAAGCATGTTGCTTTTCTTTGTGTAGGGCGCAGCGGGACATGCTCGTCGTTTGCTGTAGCTGGCTGTGCTCTGGAGAGTGTCAATCTTTTGTGGTGGTGAACGGAGGACCGGTGGTGATGTGACTCGGAGAGCTTGCGACAATCGTCATGCCCAGTGGGCGCCCTCTTTGGCGATAGCCACCACGGCAGATCTGGGCAGCCCTCGCCATGATAGTTCGGTTCAGGAGCTTCAAGGCAAGCACCTCATGTATGTATCTGTAGAGAGAAAAGAAGCTGAGAGTATTTTGGGGCCTGGTGGTTGTCCGGCGTCAGCAGACTGGCTTTGTCACGCCCCGATTCGGCAGAGCAGTGTCCGTAGATCCCTCGGCGATCACAAGATGCGGAAGCCAGGGAGCTGTTACAGGACTCTGAAGGGAAATTAAAAATTAAAAAAAACCCAGGCTTGGGGAGACCAGAGGAAAAGTTGCAGCATTGCCAAAAGAGGGGAAAGAGGGTTTTCTCAGCAACCCGGGGAGAGGAGCATGGGAAACCAGAGAAAGAATTGTGTAGTGAGAGAGAAGAGGAGTTCCACTTGTCGAGGCTTGCCTGCTGGTGGGTGTGGGGATATTGCGTTGGAACCTTACCTTAGCAACTTGTGTGAGGAATAAACGACCAGCCCGCCCGCCCGCCCGCCCGCGCGCCTGTTGCTACTACACCTCGCTGTAGGTACGGATACGCTGCCCAGGGTTTCGCCTTTGGAGGAAGGAGGAATAGACAGGAGAAGTGTAAGATAAGAGCTAACGTGGAAAAAGAGCACGGGGCCTTTGGAGGGCCGACCACATCGTCCGTCCCATCTTCCCATCTCTGCTCTACCCGCGTAGGTAGGTATTTTCCCGCCGCTTCCTCTGTGCGCCGTGTGTTGTGTGTCGGATCTTTTGTGATCCTGTCTTGTCCGCGAGACGGCGTTTGCCGCGCCATCTCTACAGTGTATTTACGGCGGCACTGCGTAAGCAGCCTCAGGTACGACACCCGCCCACTGTTACCGCTGTACCCTTAACAAGGTCGGTAAGGTGGACGGAACGGACTGGTCTCGCGGCTGCCCGGGGTGTCACGGGCGCAGGGCGAGCAAAGGGTCCGGTGCGGTGGGAGAGACGGTTGTGGCAGCGCTTGCGGCAGGGAAGATGGGACCCACAATTTCCACATTTCTCGAGGGACATCCCACCAGAGCGTTACCCCTCCTACGTCAACTTTTTTTGACGTCTTGGCCATTGGTCCTTTTTGCGACGAGGAGCGAAAAAAAGACGACGACGAGTCACAATTGCGATACTCGCAGGAGTGGGACCAGCGCATCACCAACTAAGTCCTTTTGATACGTTTGAGCAGACCGGGAAGCTCATCGGTGCCGGCAGAAGCGTGGATAGACGAGCAGAGACCAGAACGAAGCCATCGCATCCGCCCAACCCCTCCTCCCCATGACCGAAATTCGACCGCCAAAGAGGACCCACGATCTCGACCTCGACCAAGACCTATCACCAACCATTCCCGAAGCGGCCCCCTCCCCTTCGAAGCACACGACCGCGACAATGTCCAAGAAGAAGGGCCTTATCGCCCTCGGCTGCGAGGGCTCCGCCAACAAGCTCGGCATCGGCGTGATGCTCCACAACGGCGCCGAGTCGACCATCCTCTCCAACATCAGACACACTTTCGTCTCCCCGCCGGGCCAGGGCTTCCTCCCGAAAGACACCGCAAAGCACCACCGCTGCTTCTTCGTCCAGATCGCGCGCCGCGCCCTCCGCGAGGCCGGCGTCTCCGTCGCCGACGTCGACTGCGTATGCTTCACAAAGGGTCCCGGCATGGGCGCCCCGCTGACGAGCGTGGCCGTCGCGGCGCGCACGCTGTCCCTTCTGTGGGAAAAGCCCCTGGTCGGCGTGAATCACTGCGTGGGACACATCGAGATGGGGCGCACAATCACCGGCGCGCAGAACCCCGTCGTGCTGTACGTGAGCGGCGGAAACAGCCAAGTCATCGCGTACGCGGAGCAGCGGTACCGAATCTTTGGGGAGACACTGGATATCGCGGTGGGGAACTGTCTGGACCGGTTCGCGCGGACGCTGGAAATCAGCAACGATCCCGCGCCGGGGTACAACATCGAGCAGCTGGCCAAGAAGGGCACGCGGCTGTTGGAGCTACCGTACGCCGTCAAGGGGATGGACTGTTCGTTTTCCGGCATCCTTGCCAGCGCGGACATTTTGGCGGCACAGATGAAGGCGAGCCAGGCCAAGGGGAAGGAGACGTTTGCGCCAGCAGATTTGTGTTTCTCTCTGCAGGAAACGGTCTTTGCCATGTTGGTTGAGATTACTGAACGTGCCATGGCGCATGTGGGCAGCAACCAGGTTCTCATCGTTGGTGGCGTCGGCTGCAACGAAAGACTGCAGGAGATGATGGGCGAGATGGCCAAGGAGAGAGGAGGGAGCGTCTACGCGACGGATGAGAGGTTCTGCATTGACAACGGGATCATGATTGCACACGCTGGCCTGCTGGCTTACGAGACAGGCTTTAGAACATCGCTGGAGGACAGCTCATGCACGCAGCGATTTAGAACAGACGAGGTCCACGTCAAATGGAGAGACTGATGCCAATGCGCTCGGTTAACACGGCGTTTAGGGTCGTCAAATTTCTATCGTTTCCATGCCTACGCGATCTTCCTAGCCAGCCAGCTCTGGCTGGATGGTACCAATTCTGGTCACCGCAGCTTGCCCCAGGTCGCCCCTGACATCGCTGCCTAAGATCCCAAGCAATAGACTGTCTCGACCTCAGTCTAAAGAGCCACCTATTCGTCTGTCGTTGTGGGTTTGTAAATGATTGTCGTTACGTACTGTGCATGAAGTCAGTTTTTGAGCAATTCTTTATTAGGAACTGCTGCTTACCTTGTTCTTGTAACGAGTCGTTGCTGAAACTGCCAAGATGTTGTTCTTGATGCTGCTGGTGGCCAGATGGTTCAGGACAGTGTGGTTGGGCATGTTGAGCACGCTGTTGTCATCCTTCATGAGAACCGCGGCGTTCAAGATAGGCTTGCCCAGGAAACCCGGAAGACTGGGGGGCGTCGGCAGCTTCTCAATAGCTGTTACAGCATACTGGTAGGCTGGCGAATCTTCAGGTTGGTCAAAGTCGACCAGGTACTTGGGTATTTGGTGGAAGTATTGACTTGGCGACGGCACCTCCTTGCCCTTGGGGGGTTTCGGCTGTTCTTCGCCCAGCGCTGCCTCGCCCTTGGGTGCGCTCTGGTCGCTGGCCACGGTACCGGGCGCGGGGACGGGTCCCGGCACCACGGGAGCCTTGGCGGGAAGGTCGTCGGCGCTGACTTCAATGAAGTTGACCAGGTTGTTTCCAAAGTCCACAGTAGTTGGCAAGTCGGGCGAGGTCTGCATGATTCCGTCCACCAAGAACCTAACATGATGTGTACCCGGAAGAATGTGTATCGTGCCCGCGAATACGCCAGGTTGACCGTCCCTATTCGACAGAGCTGGGTCAGTAACATGCTTTCTGATAATACGGCCTGCGCGCGAGGCTGGCTACGAAGAAGGCAACTCTAGTGGCGGATTCTGACACCACTGGGGAGCCACGAGTGTAACGCACACATGGCTGAGACTCAGACACGCAGAAGTGGGACTTACACGGGATGTAATCTTTGTTTCCGGTTCCATTGGAAGATTGTTCCCGTAACATAGATCTTTCCTCCTCCTCTGCGCCATTCGAGGCGGGTCGGCACGGTGGGCCTTGTCTTGTCAACGAACAACTCCTCGCCATCCTCCTCGTCTACAGTGGTCGTGCTCAGCGCCGACGACTTCCTCGTCATGCCATCCGAATCGAGGGCTTCCACCTCGGTCACAGAGGCCTCGCCATTGTCCGCAGGTGCGATGATGGGCGAGCCGGGAGTGTGTATTTCCTCCTCGATAGGCAGAGGCAGACGAGGAGGGCGGGTTATGTACGACATGTCATTGACACTGTTGTTGGAGACCAAAGCTGGTTCAATCATGTGAGCGGAGTAATGCGACCTCAGGGAGGAGGATTCGGTCGGTACGCTTGGGACGTCTACGGGCTTGCTGGGCTCATCGCGGATGATGTGCTTGCTTTCCGGTGGCTTCGGCTGGGGAACGGAGGTACTCGAGCTCGAGGAGGGAGAGTCGGTGGTGAAGCTGGAGATGGGAATGGACTGGAGGGGCTTATTGGCCTTGGTGACCGTGGAGCCCTGGGCTTGAGTAAGGGAGGGCTCAGGCGGGGCAGCGACTCGCTCGGCGGAGCGCGGGGGGATGATGTGTTTGGACTCCCGCTTGTGATGATGGTGCTTGGGTGAGTCCTGCGACGCTGGGGCGGATGAGACAGGCGTGGCAGGCTTGGAGGACGAGGAGGGGTTGTTGCCCATTTTATCGTTGGCTTTGCTTCTTCCAGATTTGTTCGTCGGGTGGGACACGACAGACTGAGCCTGAGCCTGGTCTGGGGTGTGGTTCGGGGTACCCTACCTGGCCAGGCCGACGGGAGTCTGGATCTGCCAGTATTCAGGTAAGCGGGCGTGTGACGTCCGGCGGAAACGGCACCTGGGATGCGGTGCAATCGCGGGATTGCTGGCGGGTTGGGCTTCGGGAGGCGATGCCGTGCGGTGCAAAGGGCGCGCAAGGCCAGCGCAGTCCAAGGCAGTGCTGGACAGCGATTCGGCGGACGGGCGGTTGAGAGATGGTGAGGAAGGTCGCAGCTGTCCCAATCTCGCACTTCCACGTTGGGCAAGTTGCTGCGACTGGCGTTCGTGCGATCCTGGTTAGGTAAGGCGCGATTGCAGAAAGATACCTAATCGCGGGGTTGTGAGCTGATTATCGCATTCTCGAAGGAGAGACGACAACGAAGCGACAGGTTCGACGGCGGGCAGAGGGCGGGAATCTGTGGTCGCGGTTGTGTCGTGGGAGGAGGAGGTCGCGTACCGGTCGCTGGTGGATGTAGTGACGAGAGGCGAAAAGGGCCGGCTCGTTATTTTTTTTGGTCCAGAGATTGGATGAGAAGTCAAATCAACAACAGGCGAGTTGGAGGGGGTGGTGTGGTGGTGGTCAATTACCCAAGTTCCCACGCAGGTGCTAATCTTCCAACAAGTTTTGGGGGAGGAGGGGGGCGTGGACTCCGCGGAGGGCAGTGGCACTGGCAGATATTAAGCTCTACAGGGCCGGTACTCGTAATCGCATACTGGAGAACGTGGGGACTAGAGTACTCATGGGCATCCGCTTACCCGATACCTGACATGGCCCTTACGTGCACCTTAAGCTGGGGGCGCCCCTGGGCACTGCTGGAGCTGGCGGGGACTACCTCACTCCAACGGAAGGCTTGCTTGACACCTTGAGAGAGCGAACTTCATCTCAGGTCTCCTCTGCTCGCGTGTGCACCAGCCGTCGCTCTATCAACCACCAGCTCAAGCAGCGTAGCGGGCAAGCCAAGGAATGTGCTACCGTTCCATCTCATTTCAGCCAGCCATCGCATCTGAACATCACGACGCTCCTTCACCCCGGATTCCTGTCTTTCCCCCCTTTGGACCATCCTCTTCGCTACAATTGCAGTTATTATCCTGAGTAAACTGGATCAATCGCCATGCTCTGAGAAGCACAGGACTGTTCTTACACGCATACGTGACTCTTCGTCACCGACAACCAAACAACACATTCACAGTTTCATCATCTTCGTAGCAGCATGGCCTTGGTATCGTACACGTCCGGCGTCGTCGCCGTGGCTACTTTTCCCTTGCGTCTAGCATGGAAACCCGTGGCTTTGTTCATCAATTCGGTGCTCATGCTGCTCTCACCCCTGATATTGATGGGTTACTTCGTCGTTGGATGGTGTCAAGCTGTCATCGACTTCATAGCCAGTCTTCAAGTAAGCTGATCTCCCTTGAAAGCCCTTCCTCTATCCTGATACTCTGCTAACACTGCAATCCGGCCAGCCTCTCTATACTTTTGTTGGTCTTTCCAATCACTTGATTCAAATCTTCGTGTGCTAATCCAACGCAGCTGGCCTGCGGTGCCTTCATCGGCATACTTGCTGGCTTGACCATGTCGTGCACGTCCAGCATCATCACTACAGTCCTTGGCATGCATGACAGAGGCTACCAAGGTCCGCCAGCAACACCTGCGCCCTCGACGCCATCATCAGAACGACCAGGGACCGGTAAGACCGAAGATTCGTCGTCTTATGAGACCGATTGGCAGCTGCTCAACAAGCCACCTCCTAAGCGCCGCAGGAATAGGCCAGGTCTTTGGTCTCAAACCATTCACGAGGAGGACGATGACGATTCTGAAATTTGATAGCAATCCGGGCTTTCTTTGATATACCCTACAGCGTACCAATGCACTCATGAAGATAACAGAGAAACTTTAATGCCAGCCTTGTTCGGGAGTGTGCCTCCCCCCTCAAACGCCTGTTCCTGTGTCCGCTCGATTCGCCTTTTACGTTATCTTGTTGTACATCCAGGTGCTCGTGCCAACGAAGAAAAGACTCATACCCGACGCCGGATGTGCCTAGACCAGCTTCATCGTCAGTTCCAGCGCCTCCCGCTGGCTGATGGAATGATTATATTGCCCCAAGGTTCCGCGAATTACCTATTTCGAGCACTATACTCAGGATGGTGAGCTGTGACTCGGTCTTCACGAGTCCCGTTTTCGTTTTCCCTATCTGCGGTATCCGTCTCGTTCACGGTCACGTTCTCTCATTGGAGATCGACTGCGACTCCTAGTCCGGCGATCCCAGTCTCGATCATGCCATCGCTCATCCCTACTGTTGCGTCGGCGTTCTCGCGGGGGCCGGTCATCCCTGTGTCGTGGGCCGTCGTCCCTCCCATAGCTTGGGATGTAGGTGTCAACATCTGGTCCTGGCCGTGGCCCTCCACGGCTTCTGGGTCGTCGGTCTCTATCCCTGTCCCGGTAGCCGTCTCGCTCCATTGGGCCGCCGTTGGCATATTCTGGCGGCGGAGGCCTAGGTGGCAGCCCTCGTTCCCCACGCTCGCGCTGCCAAGCTGGTCTTCGTTCCTCGCCGTTCCGGTGCGGTCCAGGAGCATTTGAATGGCGATTTCCGTTCACACCGTTGCGATTTGAGTAATTCTCGGTATTGTTGAAGCCGGCATTGGCACCGTGTGCATCGGGACCAATGCCTACCGTCCCGCCCTTGGGTGCTGGAGGTAAAGCTGCTTTGCGGTCATGAAACTTCCGTCTGTCCAACTCGTGGCTGTCTTCGAAGGTCGGGAGATCATCGGGATTCGCTGGCATGGGGGCCATCTTAAAGTAAGGGTGGTTCAGGGCGTCGGCGGCGTTGATGCGAGATCGCCAGTCGAGTCTGAGGAGTTCCTTGAGGAGAGATATAGCCCCCGAGCCGTATTCTCTAAATCTTGTGGATAAACTGCCAGGTCTCGTACGCGGAGAAACGGCCTCGGCGCCAGGAAGTGTATTAAATAGGGGCATGTTCTCTGGCGTGGGTGATCCCATCAAGTCCCAGATAATGTCTAGTTGGTGAGAGTCACTCTCACCCGCCAAAATCGGTTTCCCAACCAGCATTTCGCCAAAAACGCAACTAGCCACAGGTTAATAGTCTGAAGAGATTGTAGGCCTTGGATCTTACCCAACACCCCAGACGTCAATGGCTGTTGTGTACTTCTTCAGGTGAAGCAACAGCTCGGGGGGTCTGTACCATCTAGTGACGACAAGGCCAGTGTACTCCCTCTTGCCCTCCCCAGCACCATGCCCTGACTTAGGCGTGGGTCCCTCGTAGTGTCGAGCCAGACCAAAATCTGCAATCTGGAGGATGCCCTTATTGTTGATGAGAAGGTTGGCGGCTTTCATGTCGCGGTGTAAGATGTGGTTGTCGTGCAGGTATCGGAGGCCCTCCAGAAGTTGTAACATGTAGCACTTGATCTGAGGCTCGGTAAAGGTGACCGAAGGGTTGTCAAGAAGACCAGAAAGATCGTGGTCCATGTAGGGCGTGGCCATGTACATGATTGGCCTCTTGCGCTTGTCGCCTGTAACAATCCGCGTCAGGAATTGTTGGTTCGGAGACGAGTGACTCAGCAGCGACTTACTGGCTCTCTGGGGATGCTCGACGGCCATGTCCACTAGCTGCAGGACGTTCTTGTGTGATAAGAGCTTGAGAAGCTTAATCTCGCGCAGCGCCGTGATGGGGAACTATCAATTGTCAGATGACTGGGCAGCGAACTTGGCATCCAAACTTGCATACCCCATCTTTCTCATGGTGCATAATGATCTTCTTGAGGGCAACATGGGCTCCCGTCTTCTTGGATTTCGCGCGATGCACCTCACTGTCGAGCTAGGATTAGCACGGAAAGCGCGCCGTCGCAGGGCGAACCTACCCAAAGGTACCCTCACCCAGCTTGCCAAGGAGATCGTAATCTGTGATTCGCGAGCATCCTACGAAGCTTGTCCTGGGGCGCTGGTGTTGCATCGCAAAAGTGCGAGGCGAGTCGCTGGCGTTGGGCGCGCTGGACTCCATGATGGCTGCGTTGCGCGGCAAGAAGCGGCGATCGCGACAAAAGATTGACGTGCCAGTTCTTCAGGTCGTATGTGCGAGATGGTTATTAGCGGAAGGTACCGATCGGTAGCAAGCGCATTGCTAGGTTCGAAATCGAACGCAAAGGCTATATCGCAGCGGGCATGGGTGAAGATTGTGACGGGCGTTCTTCGACGGAGGGAAATGTCGTGGTCGCTGTCTCAGCCTGCCAACTTGCTTGAGGATGGAGTATGGATTGGTGTCGGGCGGTGGACATGGCAGAATTCACGTCCCAAGATGGCGCGGGAGTTCCACGTTGGTCTGGAGGCTCCGTGAGGGGTACGTATCTTTTCTTGCAAGGGCCGGTACGCTCATCTTTATTTTTGTTCCGAGCTTCTGCGTCATCGTCCGATGCTGGGCTCCAGTTTCTGCAAGTTGCAGTCAGTCTCATTTCAGTCGATTCCAATTCGCCATCCAGCGGCAAGCTTGATGCACTTTTTCCAGCCCGCGAAAGACTTGGCATGGGAACAGAATGTAATCGATAAGGATTCGATGCCTCCTTCTGCCATCTCAACCACCTCAGCACCCGCAGCGCCCGTCAACGTGTCTAGACCAGCCATGCCAGGCTTCGTTCGAGGTCACGCAGCTGGCGAGGTCGTTCTGTTACTTAATTATTACCCCATCGCTGACCCTGCCCGCCATCCGCTATCGGGGGCCAGTCCCATCGTCTCTTCTCCGCGGTACACAACTCGCATCCTGAGTTGTTGTATCAAAAACTCAACTCATTCGCCTTATCTGTCGCGATAAGGTGTCTCTTCAGAGAACGAGGGGCAACCTCGATATTTGCCCACATTCCCTTGTCCTGCCTTATCAGAGAGTGTCTTTCTTTGTCAAGCACCACCACGCACTGATCTCGTGTCAGCTCGAGTTACTTTAGATCCGGCCAGGAATTGCCAGACGCCATCCGCATACACCACATGCTCTTCCATACCATTCCCTAGTTGCCCATCCCGCAAATGACTTGTTTGACTCGCCGTCCGGCTCCACTCCCATGCTTTCACCATCGCTAACCGCTCATCATAGTTCTCTCCGTTAGACAAAATTTACAAAATTTTGCACAACCCCATGACTTGACCCAGTCGTTGCCATATTGCTCTCCATACAAAAGCTTCTGCCCCTCCATACTTACCCCGTGCCCCTCAACTTATCTGTGGAGGCGCCAGCAACTGATAAACTCCCAACTTCAACTCTTTCTTTGTACTGTCGTTTTCTTATCCGACGAAGCCTCTCATTGTCTCACAACAAAATACTCGCAAACATGGCATCCCAAACCTCCGCCGAGAGGCTCCTCCCAGAGTCCAACTACCCGGAGTCCCGAGTCCTGGTTATCATGACAGGCGGCACCATCTGTATGCAACCCACCGCCGACGGTCTCAAGCCCATCGGAGGGTTCCTGAAGAATGCCATGGCCCCGCGCCCTTCATTCAACGACAAATCGTCGCCTTCAGGTAGGTCATTTCTCGAGGACACTCCAAGAACGCCGTAGAGCCATGTTGGCCACCGCTGTTGTCTCGGGTGCAATAATGAAAAAACAAAACGTGCAGCCCTTTTGTGCACTCTTCATGTCAACTCTTCGCGCGAGCCGAACGCTCTTCTCTGCTACTGCATCACGTCATACAGAATACTTTTACCGCGCCTTACTAACGATAAGTAGTGCAACTCGAGGCTTACAAGAATGGCCAAAAGGTTGTTCTGGATAGCTTGAGGACACCACCAAGCGCCTACTCCCGTCACATTCGTTACGGCGTCCTGGAATTTTCGCCTTTGCTGGACTCGAGCTCCATCTCAGCCGAAGGCTGGACGGAAATTGCTCAGACCATCAGAGAGAATTACCGTCTCTACGATGGCTTCGTGGTGCTCCACGGCACCGACTCCTTGTCGTACACGGCTTCGGCCCTTTCTTTCATGCTCTCTGACCTAGGCAAGCCGGTTATTCTCACTGGTTCCCAGGCCTCCATCTTCGCACTCCAGTCTGACGCCGTCGACAACCTCCTGGGCTCGCTCATCATCGCAGGAACCTTTGTCATTCCCGAGGTCGGCTTGTTCTTCCACCACAAGCTGTTCCGTGGCAACAGAACAAGCAAGGTCTCTTCTGCTGCCTTTGAGGCTTTCGCCAGCCCCAACTGTGAGCCTCTGGCCAAGGTCAACGGTCTCGGTATCGATGTGAACTGGCCCATCGTGTTGAGGCCTACCAGAATTGCCGAGCTTCAGGTCACCCAGCACCTCGACACCGCCCACGTTGCCTGTCTGCGCGTGTTCCCTGGTATTAGGCCCGAAATGCTCGATTCGGTCCTCCGTGTCCCTGACTTGCGCGGCCTCATTCTCGAAACGTTCGGCATGGGCAACGCCCCCAGCGGTATCGATGGCAGCTTGACAAAGGTCATCAAGAACGCCGTGGACCGTGGCGTCATCGTCGTCAACGTCAGTCAGTGCATGAGCGGCTTCGTGTCGCCCGTCTACGGCCCCGGCACCGAGCTTGGCCGTGCCGGAGTCATCTTCGGCCTGGATCTCACTGCCGAGGCTGCCCTGACGAAGCTGTCCTACCTGCTCGCTGTGTCCGGCCTGTCAACGGCGGAGGTCAGCGCACGCATGTCCCACTCGCTCCGCGGCGAGATGACAGAAATGGCACTTCCGGTATTTTCGCACCCTTCCGGATCGCTCGACTCGGTCGTGTCGCGACTAACCGCGACAGAATCGGCATTTACTGTCCTCGGCTACGCCGTACGGAACGGGGATCTGAAGACGGTCAAGGAGATCCTGGACAACGACGCCCAGCGCGAGCTGCTTAAGATGGCCGACTACGCCGGCAACACGGCAGTGCATCTCGCGGCCGTCGGGCCCCAGATCAGCATCCTGCGCGAGCTTCTTACAAGGGGCGCCAGTGTGCACGCACGTAACCGCGCGAACAACACGCCGCTGTACCTCGCGGAGAAGACGGGCAACGAGGAATGTGTCAGGCTGCTGAAGGAGACGGGCGCTCACTTATGGCAGGACGAGGCGACTATTTTGGATTCGGTTCAATCTTCCCAATCTGCATCTGGAGACGGAGTTCAAAAGTAGGATCATGAAAAGTTGTGCTTTTGTGTGTTTGCAGGCGTTGCTTAGTTATGAGTTTCATTAGATGGCATATCTCGGCGATGATGAGAAGAAATAAACCAACATGAAAATTGTTTCAAGTTTAAGAATTGCCAGAAGACGTAAATTTTCTGAAGAAGGCATACATTCCATCCGAACAATGAAGACCTGACAGACAGTGTGAACTGCCATCACCGCCGTCACCGGATGCCGTGGCGGGCTGCGGGCTGCGGGCTGGATCGGCCCCACTTAGGCCGGCGCCGCGCTTGAATTTTTGGGAAATTTCACTTCTGTACCCTCCATCGACAGCTTTCGTCACTCGTCATTGATTTGCTACCCCCCGCGCAATCCACGCTTCGAAGCCCAAAACGTCCTTTCCTTGACCCTTGAGTCAGTCTCAGGAAGACCGATTTGCGACCGTCTACACTTCGAACGCTTCACGATCCCGAGCAACGTTCAACACACCACTTTCGTCCACTCGAACCACACAACCTCCACAGCGAAAATGGCAGACCAGACAACACCCAGGCTCCAGGGGTCGCCCGAGCTTCACGGCACCCCTCCCCTAGTCCACAACTTCTGCATCGCCGCAGCCGTCCTCTCCCCGGTCATGATGATCCTGCCCCCGCGGCGCATGGACTGGCGCTTCTTCATGCACTCGAGCATCTTCTCCGCCTCGACGAACCAGCTCATGTACGACTGGACGGGCCAGTCAATCTACCAGCGTGTCGGCGCCCGCTTCGAGGCCATGTTCCCGACGACTCTTCCCGACCAAGCACAGAAGACAAGGCAGGCTCTGCGCGAGGAGCGCATGCGTCGCGAGGGCCTCACGGAGGAGCAGATGCGAGCCATTGAGTACAAGAAGCGCTCCTTCGCGGAGAGGATATGGTACGGCAAGGAGCCGGAGGACTGGGACAAGAAGCGTGGCGAGGAGCACGCCAAGGCGTTGGCTGAGGGAAAGGGATTGGGAGACCTGATTGTGAATCAGGTCAAGGAGGTCTGGGACGGCGAGAAGGACAAAAAGGCCGAGGCGGATAACAATGACAAGAAGGCATGAGTACACCACGAAGAAGAAAGGGGAAAGAAGTGTAGGATTAAAATTTTGCGGATTGGGAGCTGCCGCCTGTTGTGGCCAACAGAACGTCTACGTCTGTCAAGCAGCGTTCTGGCTGAGTGGGAGCACTCTTGGCCTGTTGAATATCTCCCCTTAAGTACTGTACATTACTATCTAATAGAGTAACGCAACGCCGGCCAACACACAGGTTTTGGCTTGCCTCGACTTCCCATTCCAACAACACCACGGATATATGCTTCTGATCGCTTTGAACTTTTGATTTCCATTCCGCCCATATTATTCGCTAGACGCCATCACGCACGCGCGCTGTAAATCTCTCCTCTTCCTCCACTCGTAATATCCAGTAAACCCTCGCCATTCTTCATACTCCTTTTCCCCTCCCTCCGCTGATTGAGAGTTCGTCCAGCCTCAGAGAGGCTAATTTGTCTCCGAGGCAGCTTCCTGCCTGCGTCTCAGGGCACCTTTTTGTTTCTGCTTCTTTATCTGCTTCTGCTTCACATTGTCGCTTCGTCCTCCTTGGTGCTTACCCTTGCCTTTGCCCTTTACCCTGCTCTGTTGCCTTGCAAGCTTCTTGGACTTGCGAGCGTCGACCTTTTCGTCGAACAGCTTGATCCAGGCTGCCAGCAAGGTCTCCACCTCGTCCTGGCGCTCATCCGAGTCGGCAGGAATACCGAGCTCCTTCCTGATTGAGATACGATGTCTGTCAATTTGCATCAGACGACGTCTCGCAGCCCGGTTGAGGCCATCACCGTTCACCGTGCTAGGTGCAATGGTGCTCGGCGCCACCGATGTGTCCCTCTCGGAGGCTGATGGGTTGGCTGTATCTTCGTGCGCGGTGGTGTGCTTCGTAGGGTTCACGTCGATGATGAAGGGAAGTGGCGCGGCTTCGGCCTCAGGCGCGTTGGAAGACTCGGGGGCGGGGGCGGGAGCGGGAGCTGTTGAGGGTTCGGCAGGAGCTTCGCTCTCCTCCGCCGCTGACTTGGACTTTCTGGATCCTCTCTTCTTCTTGGGCTTCTCTTCGGTTTTCGCCGGTGACGCAGTCTTCGTCTCCGGGACTGGTGTGCTCGCCATGGATGAGGTCGCTGACTGGCCTGATGCCAGCTCTTCCCTTCTTTGCTTTCTTCTTGCTGCCCTTTCAGCACGGGCGTCGGCGGCAGATTTCTTGGTGTCTACTTTGGGAGCCGGAGTGCTGTCTACGTCCATAGCATCGCCCTACTCCAGACATTAGCACGGCAACGGCTGAAGACGTGGGGAGTCGCTCATACCACGCGTGTGTCGAGCTTGGCGCCGCCCTCTTCCTTATCAGAGAAGGACTCGATACGGGTAGATTTCTTTCCCATTATTTCAAGTAGCAAGTCGATTGAGGCGATAGAATGCTTATCGCTTCAAAAATGACAATACGTGACCGGCTCGAACAAATAAACAATAGGCTCGAGCTTCTCGAGGGGATGCAGAAAAAAAATTATTGATTGCTTGCCCAGGGTCTTATCTTATCGGCACGTGATAGAGGCCGTTGAAATGAGCAAGACGGCGGAAGCATCTCCGACGACCGACGTTGAAGCAGCCACCCAGGGGCGTGTTGGCGAATGAGGTGCACGGCCTCCAGCTCTTTGGATAGGGCTGGCTTCTCAGTGGTCAGTCAAGGGTTCTTGGGAACAAGCTCAACCAACAACTAGTTGCCATAACGACGACATGCTGTCAGGCTAGACTCGGGACGGCCTGGGTCGCACGCCCACGAGCTGTGAATAGGAGGATTGGACCAAGAGACTCATGGTTTCTGAGTGCGTCATCTTACGGGGTTGGATGTTTATTCGTGTTTCCCTCGTGTATCGGTCCCTGAGGCAGCTAGTGGAGGTGGCTTGCCTCCGCGAGCGAAAACGGGCTCTGAGTGGCTGAGGGCTGAGCCACCAGCTGTCGTAAGTTTTCAGACCCTGCACGCGTCGGTGGGCTGACGCCCTGCATGGTAGGTGGTCTGCCGTGCAACAGTGGACGATGGCAAAGGCAGTGGTTGATACCCGCCTGATTGACGGTTGATTGATGGGTGACAGCTCAATCACTGAACTTTGACGACAGCCTCCCTCGTACCCTGGCGTTGTCTTGTGCTTTTCAGATATTTTCGGTCTGAGAAAAACGAGCTGCGACACGCTCGCGCCAGCGTCGGATCCGGCGGACTTTGAATGAAAAGGGAGGCTGACAGGCGAAAGAGCCCACAGTCTCCGGGCAGATTCCTCAGAAAGACGTTAAGACCGCGGGCGGGTGCCGCGAATTCCACATTCCGGACGGTCATGTCCATGGGGTCCATCTGGCATATTGCGAGCCTTCCCGAAAGGTTTCTTGGGTTCCCCGGATATCCGGGCATGCCTCATGGCTGGGCAGCGGGCTTGTTGGAAAATTAGCTCAAGGGGAGGCCGATCGAAGGGAAAAGGTTGATTGCCGCGTCAGGGCGGTCCTTGTCGAACCGCGGCTCATGGGATGGAAATGGAATGAACACCCTATGCTGGCGTTGCTCCCTCAACGTTGTGGAATGGCCGCGGTTTTCAAGGGTCATGACTCTGGCTGTTGCTGGCAATGCGGTGGTGGTGCCGCTCTGCGGAACGAGTGTCGGAGCTGGGATGGTGCCCGCACTCTGCATGCAGTCAGTGTGCATGGGTCGGCAGTGGAAGGCGATGGATGACATTTCATCATCAACGGTGGTGGTGGTGCAGGATCAGCCTCTCGACGGTTGGGAGGATCTCAAAGTTGCTGCTGTGGCTTCCGGGACGGGGACAAGGTTCTGCTGACGGTCGGTCGAGACTCGAGGATCCCAACACTTGCCATAGCGATCGACTGCCAGACGAGAGCGATGGGCGGTCTCCTGTCTGGAGTTAATGGGAGGACACTATCCACATGGAAAGCGACTTAGAAAGGGCCCGATATCCGGGCCGACGATGAGCAATAGCAATAGCATCCCAATATTACCAACTGGCAACCTGTTGGAGGTTGGCAGAGGCAAGGCGACGACGACGACAGCGACGACATCAGGATGGGTCCAATGCGAAGTGGACAACGGACTCACAGGCAGGCTGGATGGAGATGACGAGCGAACGGTACCAACCCACAAGGCCAGAAGGCAGGACAAGCTGCGTTACGCAATGATCTGAAACTTGTGGACCCCTTGTTCCAAACTTAGCATCAGAATCAGCACACAGCTGCCAGCCTGAAGCGCGGTGCCAGCTGGGAGTGATCATCAGGACCCCTATGCGGCTGCAGAGTCCTGGCCGGCACGAAGTGGTGGAGAGTGGCAGAGAGTGCCAGTCAGGCGCTCAAGGGGACCTAAGACGGGAGAGGCTGGCGATGCTGACACAGCCTCAAAAGCCGGGACTACTGCACGCCTTGCTGCACCCTTTCTGCTGCTGCTGCCGCTACCGTTGGCGCGCTGGGATTGGTGCTTGCGGGCTTGCTGTTGCTGCTGTCTCCCACACTCCTCCCCCATCCCAATCATTCATGGATCCCTCTTACGCCGTACCTAGTCTCCCCTCCAGTGGATGACTGCCATGCTCACTCGCGCTCACACTGCCTCCCACAGCCAACCACCAATTCTCCTGGGGCTCCCTCTCCCACTTGGCGGGCTGGGCAAAAAAAGCAGAAACAAGGCCGGGAAGGCATGCGTTTGAGATGCTGGCTTGTTTAAAAGAAAAAGGCTCCTCTCCTCCCCCCCATCCGTCGCTTGGAACGCGTCCTGCTTGCTTCCTCCTAGATCCCATCCCCTGACCTGTGAACCTGGAACCTCCCTTCACTCGTTATTTCCTCTGTTTTCTTGTTGTTGTCATAATTCCAGATTCCCCCTTCGTGTCACCAACAAGCTCCCCCGCGCTTCGACACTCGCAACCACCGTCTCTTACTGGTCCAATCATCCGAAGGCACCCCTAAACGAGACAGCGCGCACACCCAAGGCACCTCCCTACCTTAGCTCAGGTTGTCGTAGGTTGTTGTGCACAGGCGCATCCCAGCCCGCTAATTCATAATTCACCACCTCCTGGGTGAACCTGCAATTACAAGCCTCACTGCTGAGCACCCTCACCTGGCCCCAAAGTCGACTTCACTAGTCGGGAGCAATTTGCCTGCTACCGACCGGTCCACAAGAGACTTTGCTCACCTCATCGTCCGCCAAACGCCTCCATCTACCCAAAAAGCACCAAGAAGGCTTAGCTCAAGCATCTTCTAGCAAACTTCCCGAACAAATACCCACGTCTCCCCAAACCTTGGAAGAGACGACCACACGACGAACACACACACCTTCTTCTCGACTTCCCGCTGTCACATTTCTCCGCGTTTGGTCCCCTTTTCGGTACCTGAGCGATTGCCCATCGCTCTAGCCCGATTCGACCCATCGTCAGCACAGCCAAGTTCCAGCTCGGCCCTCCAAGCGAAATTCCTCGCCCCGACAAGACAAAGTCGCCCAGATCCCCATTCCCCATCATCTTCCCTGGGTATCCGTAATTCAGAGGTGCTCTGCCCTCCTCCCCGTCCGATCATGGCATCCAACGATTACTACCACGGCGGCAAACCCCCCTCAGCATCTCCGCCACCTGCAGCATACTACGCTGGCAGTGCATACAACAACATTCCCTCTACGAGCTCTACGCCCGCGCCTCCTTACAGCCAAATATCACAGACCCCCGGTGCTTCCCATCCGCCGCCACCGCGCGTGAACACCGTCTCGCCTTTCGAAACAGTCTTTGACGATCATGTCTATCCAGTAGACTCAACGCAGGACGGATTCCGACACAACGCCAACGGCACTCCCCAGCAGAACATGAGCCCCCAGGCTGCGAACAACCCGCAACGCATGAACACCGTCCACACTGTCAACACCGTTAGTTCTGTCTACAGCAGTGACAATCCAAACGACCCGCGCAACATGCAACCGTTGCCTCCTCTGCCACAACAGCCAACTGCCTACCATCGCGATGGCGCCTACAACCAGCACGATGGCGTATACGACCAGCACAGCGCGTATGCGCAGCCCAATCCCTACGCCCAGGATACTGCCTACTACGGTAACCAGGCCGTTTCTCCGGACTCGAGTAGGCCTCATGTAGCAGATGATATTCCTCTGCAGAGCCGGCAGGAGACCCAGCCCAAAGATGTGGAGATGAACGACAACGACCATGTCTACGACGCTCCCCAAGGAAGCCGCCGCTCGAAGAGCCGTCGCGATAAGAGCAAGGTCGGCTTCGGTCAGTTGGGTATGTTTGGCGCGGACAGAAAGGGCATCCCTTGGGTGGTATACGTCTTCACCTTGGTCCAGGTCGCAGTGTTTATCGCCGAAATTGTCAAGAACGGTAAGTCTGCAAACTCACAAATCGATCCGGATATTGGTACTGACGATTTGTAGCTCAATTAACCGGCTCCCCCATCATGACCAAGCCCAGCTTCAACCCCATGATTGGACCTTCTACCTATGTCATGATCAACATGGGTGCTCGTTACGTCGCCTGCATGCACAACGTCAAGGGTATCCAAGACTCCAACACCTCGTTCACGTGGCCCTGTCCTAATTCGACATCTTCCGACGCCAACAACCCATCGAACCAGTGCGGACTCGGTGATCTCTGTGGTTTTGGCGGAGTTCCCGAGCCGAAGTTTGAGGGCCTTGATCAGAGTCCGGAGCCTGACCAGTGGTTCCGCTTCATCACGCCCATCTTCCTGCACGCAGGTCTGATCCACATTGGATTCAACCTGCTCCTGCAGATGACGATTGGCAAAGAGATGGAGATTGCTATTGGTTCGATCCGTTTCTTCCTGGTCTATGTGAGCGCCGGCATATTCGGTAACGTGATGGGAGCAAACTACGCCGGCGTCATGACAGCTTCAACCGGTGCTTCGGGTGCGCTCTTCGGCGTTATCGCGCTGACGCTACTTGATCTGCTGTACTCCTGGAAAGACCGCCGCAGCCCCGTCAAGGATTTGATGTTCATCATGCTGGACATTGTCATTTCCTTCGTTCTTGGTCTTCTGCCAGGCTTGGACAATTTCGCTCATATTGGTGGTTTCCTTATGGGCCTGGCCCTCGGCATCTGCGTCCTACATTCACCCAACTCTCTCAGGCGCAGACTAGGCACCGACCCGTCCTACGCTTCAATGCAACTCAACCCCGCCAACCAAGGTGCCGGGCCTTCCTTCTTGAGGAACCCGGTTGGTTTCTTCAAGGGACGCAAGCCTCTCTGGTGGGCTTGGTGGCTTGTCAGAGCAGGCTTCCTGTTGACTGTCATCATCGTCTTCATCGTTTTGCTCAACAACTTCTACGTCTACCACAACACCTGCAGCTGGTGCAAGTACCTCAGTTGTATAGTAAGTTTACCCTGAAAGTCAATGGTATGGCTTCCTCTCGCTAACACAGCCTCTAGCCTGTCAACAACTGGTGCGAGCTGGATGATTTTAAGCTCACGAAGAGTTCATGAAGATGAGATCTCAAAACGAAGACTTGGCGATGGAACGCCACGAGTATGAATGGTACCTTATGCATTGGGTTACGCACTTGACAAGGGGGTTCCGGTTTTTGCATTGCTCAGCGACGGCGTCCGGTTCGGTATGGGTATTATTAAAGGAAACATGGCTTCCTCCCTTGCTTATTCCCACAAATTGCATTCATAGAGAGCCAAAAGTCGCGGCTGGTTGCAGGGCTCTCATGCTGTTGCCGAGCTGACAAACGGCATGGGCACCAACGGTTGCAACGTCCGAGGACGTGTTGATGCAGCGGTGCCTTGGCTACCCCGCAGATCATTCGATGGGCTGGACAACGTTACGTACTCGGAACCTGGCCTGTCATAATGAATAGAATAAATAAACATCGAGCATTCCCTGCCGCTCTGCTGTGTTCTTTCTCGCACCTGTCCCTCTCTTCTCTCGTTGCGTTCGGGCCTCTCGGACGTCTTCATGCATCATAGTGCCGGCAGTTTTGAACCGCACGGCATCGAGTGTTTCGAGGTAAGACGACTCCCGACAATCAAAATCGCCGATCTTATGATGATTCTTTTTTGCATGGCTTAGCTGAGCGGCTGTGACAAGTCGCAATTGATGCCTCGAAGAATGGATATCTGAACATGAGAAAATCTTACTTGCCTTGCGTTATGGTGGCTTTAACCAAGACACATTACGGATGCTAATTATTGAGTATCCTAGGGCAGCGACCGAGCTCAGCATTTTTGTTGTTCTCAGAATTCTGGTTCCTGTACGAGAAAAAACCATTCCTTGTCGCCATTAGTGTCTACTGATCAAGGGCGCTGGTTCTGGTCATGGTCGAAGTTCTGTTCAAGTTTCCCAGTATTAACTGGTCCTGCTAATAGTCTACGAAATGTACTATATGTTTGCTGTTTGTTTGCATTAAATATCTCTGATTAACTAAGTGCTGCCACTAAGGTGACTGATAATTGCCATGTAAGGCCATGTTTTTGTTGGTCGGTAGATTTTTAGTGTCATACGCCAAACAGGCACGACGACGACCTAGGCAGGATGCATGGCTGATGCCAGTCTTCTACATTGAATGTTTTATTGTGGTTTCCGATTCCTTCCTAACTACTCTATATCAATATTCCATTCGTCTACATTGAATGTTCAGGATGACATGGACAAAAGCATGCTCAAAGCAGTCACAAGTGCAGCTCTCTACTTCCTATTCGGTGAACGGTCGGGTTGCTAGTGGCTCACCGAAAGGTGCCTAACTGTCGCGTCTCCAACGTTACCTTAGTCAGCAGATCGCGACCCCCGGCTTCAATTAAGCTGTGGGTCCGTCACGCTACACGTCTTCACGTCAGAGGCGCGTCTTCCATAACCACCCACCCGTGTCTAATAGCTTGCGCCCACTCTAAAACCGCCTGGTAGCAACCGCGCAACAACGAATACTCGACTTAGCTACCTACCTCAACCGTGCTATGAGCTTTGGCTGAACCTCTTTCTTTTAATCATCACAGCCAAACTCACATCATGGCTACCGCGGTACTTCCCAAGAAGCGGGTGCTAGGGGAGACGCCCAGCACCCGTCGCAATATTCCCACGACACCATCATCCTTGAAGAAGCGCAAGGTCGAAGGCTTCTCATCCTCCCCCGCCCACCGCATCGGCTCGCAGAAGAACTCGAAGAACCTCCCAGGCTCTAGTCAGCCAAAGAGCGCATTCGAATCCGAAGTTCTCGAGAAGCTTAGCCAAGACATTTCCGAGGCCAAGCAGAATAATACAGAGAGAGATCAAGCATGGGACCGTCCGGAGCTGGTCGACTTCAAGCCAGAGAGGGACAGCCTGATATTCCAGCAGATTGAGGCGGAAGAAGGAAGCTTGCACGGCGGCAGGGCAACGGTGAAGCTGTTCGGTGTCACAGAGCAGGGCCACTCGGTGATGCTCCACGTCACTGACTTCAAGCACTACCTCTACGTTGCTGCCCCAGTGGCGTTCCGACCTGAAGACTGCAATGCCTTCAAGGCCTACCTCGAGTCGCAGGTCGCCCAGCACCAACCGTGCATTCATTCAATCTCCTTCGTCATGAGGGAGAACATTTACGGTTTCCAGGGGAATGTTCAGAGCCCCTATCTCAAGATCACCGTCATGGACCCCAAGTTCATCAGCAGAGTGCGTTCAACAATCGAGACTGGAAGCGCAAACTGGAAAGGTCTGTGGAAGGGCATGGAAGGTGGTGTCATGACCTTTGACAACATCCAATACGTCCTGCGCTTCATGGTTGACTGCAAGGTAAGAAAGCATAGCTTGGTCTAAACGGATGACGCTGACAACTTTCAGATCCACGGAATGTCCTGGGTCGAAGCCCCCGCGAAATCATACCAGCTCCTTCCCCAATCACAAAGACAATCAAACTGTCAAATCGAGGCCGAAATCAGCCATCTGGACCTCATTGCTCACAAGCCCGAAGGAGAATGGTCCAAGATGGCTCCTTTGAGAACCCTGTCCTTTGATATCGAGTGCGCTGGCCGCAAGGGTATCTTCCCCGAAGCAACACACGACCCGGTCATCCAGATTGCGAATGTTGTAACACGGTACGGAGAAAAGAAGCCATTCGTGCGGAACGTGTTCTGCCTGGACACGACGAGTCCCATCGTTGCCACACAAATCTTGGAATTCCAAAAGGAAGAAAAGATGCTGAGCGAGTGGCAGAAGTTCCTTGTCAAGGTTGACCCCGATATCATTATCGGATACAACATTGCCAACTTCGATTTCCCCTATCTTCTCGACCGAGCCAGACACCTGAAGGTCAACGGATTCGAATACTGGTCCCGTATTCCGAGCATAGCGTCGAAGGCCAAGGAGACCAACTTCTCCAGCAAACAGATGGGTAACCGTGACACCAAGGCCACCAACACAAACGGCCGGCTGCAACTGGACCTGCTGCAACTTGTCCAACGCGACCATCATCTTCGAAGTTACACACTCAACTCTGTGTGTTCGAACTTCCTTGGAGAACAAAAAGAAGACGTCCACCATACCATGATCACGGAACTGTTCAATGGAACACCCGAGTCAAGGCGTCGTCTTGCTCTGTACTGTTTGAAGGACGCGTACCTTCCGCAGCGATTGATGGATAAGTTGTCATGCCTCGAAAATTACACGGAAATGGCCAGAGTCACGGGTATTCCGTTCAACTTCCTGCTTTCCAGAGGTCAGCAGGTCAAGTTCATCAGTCAACTTTTCCGAAAAGCCCTCGAGCAGAAGCTTGTTATCCCGAACCTCCGGTCTGAGAGCAGCGATGAGCAGTACGAAGGTGCTACAGTCATTGAACCGACTCGAGGATACTATGACGTGCCCATCGCCACTCTGGATTTTGCTTCCCTGTACCCCTCCATCATGCAGGCTCACAACCTGTGCTACACGACACTGGTCAACAAGAAGGCCATTGAGAAATTCAGTCTGGTGAAAGACGAGGACTATATCGTCACTCCCAACGGTGACACTTTCGTTACCGTCAAGAAGCGCAAGGGTCTCCTCGCTCAAATTCTCGAGGAACTTTTGGCGGCCAGAAAGCAAGCCAAGCGCGAGCTGGCTGTGGAAACGGATCCATTCAAGAAGGCTGTGCTGAACGGTCGTCAACTGGCGTTGAAGATCAGTGCAAACTCCGTTTACGGTCTGACGGGTGCGACGACTGGCAAACTGCCTTGTTTGGAAATCGCCAGTAGCACAACGAGTTTCGGTCGTCAGATGATTATGAAGACCAAGGAGGAGGTAGAGAAGAAGTACTGCATCGCCAACGGCTATTCTCACGACGCCCAGGTCATCTACGGTGACACTGATTCAGTCATGGTTAAGTTCGGTACGAAGGACCTTCCCGAGGCAATGAAGCTTGGCGAGGAAGCTGCTGGTTTCGTTTCTTCCAAATTTGTGAAGCCCATCAAGCTGGAATTCGAAAAGGTGTACTTTCCATACCTTCTCATCAACAAGAAGAGATATGCCGGCTTGTATTGGACCAAACCAGAGAAGTACGACAAGATGGATACGAAGGGTATCGAAACCGTGCGACGAGACAACTGTCTTCTCGTACAGACTGTCATTGAGAAGGTGCTTCGCATGATTCTGATTGACCAGGACGTCCAGGGTGCTCAAGAGTAAGTTGGATCCTCGCGTTTGTAGGAGCGCTTGCTAACAGATGCCAGCTACGTCAAGGACACGATTGCCGACTTGTTGCAGAACAAGGTTGACATGTCGAAGCTTGTGATCACAAAGGCCCTTACCAAAGACGATTACGCCGCAAAGCAGGCCCACGTCGAGCTGGCACAACGAATGAAGAAGCGTGATGCTGGCTCGGCGCCTGGCCTCGGCGACCGAGTGGCCTATGTGATGGTCAAGGGCGCTGCGGGATCCAAGAACTACGAGAATTCCGAAGATCCCATCTACGTTCTGGAGAACAATGTGCCGATTGACACCAAATACTACCTGGATAACCAGCTTGCGAAGCCACTCGGCAGAATCTTCGAGCCCATCTTGGGTGAGACGAAGGCGAACTCACTTCTCACTGGAGCGCACACCAGAACCATCGCAGTTTCGGCGCCGACTGTCGGAGGTTTGATGAAGTTTGCGAAGAAGACGCAGACTTGCATGGGATGCAAGAGGCCTCTGAAGGGCAAGGAGGAGAGCGCGGGGGCAGTGTGCTCGGACTGCGCGCCTCGGGTCGGCGAACTCTACAAGAAGACGCTTGATAGAACATCAGATCTGGAGGTGCGGTTCGGCCGGCTCTGGACGCAATGCCAGCGGTGTCAGGGCAGCATGCACTGCGAGGTGATTTGCAGCAGCAAAGACTGCCCCATTTTCTACATGAGAATGAAGGCCAAAAAGGACCTTGAGGATGCGGGTAAGGAGCTAAAGCGTTTCGACTTTGACCAGGCGGCGATCTGGTAAGATGTTGCGTGGACGACAAGGGACCGATGAGGGGCATGGACAAAGGCGATGATGAAGACGGAGGGGC